TACATAACCTGGCCAGAGTCCCCACACAGAGCAATTGCCTGTGACATTTGCTTTTAGGATAACAACAGAGGAGCAGCTTTCTATTAGGAGTGGGGTCTGCCACTGTTATGCAATGTGGGCATTGGCACCAGAGAAAAATGGGACATCCTTACATTGATAATGATGAAACTAGAAATTTAAGACTATTCCATTCAAATTCTTTTTTTAAAAAAACTTGGGACATAAACTTAACACATTGGGGAGTAAATGTCACCAAATTTAAAGAGAATAATTAGAGAATATGGTATATAAGAATCAACAAATGGAATACTGAAGCTAAGTCAAGGGCAGCAATATTCTAAAATACATATCATTTTATCATATATGAAGTAAATCAAGTCAGTGGTGAAACAGTGACTAAGGAGCAGCTCTTATTGAGACAAGCAGACTTAAATTTGAGGGAAAAATGTGTTCCATGTCTAAGACATATATATCTGTCAAGCTTTTCTAAGAAAAATGAAATTTATAAAGCTTAAAGGTCAAAAATGTAAAACAAAATTTAATAAAAGTACAAAAATAAAACATTAAAAAAAAATTTCAATAATCCTGGCTTGGGGAAAGTTTTTCCTAAAACATAAAAAATTGTGAAATCATTCAGCATAGAATTGGCAGATGAAAATTTTATGTTTATATGGACAAAAAGAAAGAAGAAAAAAATATAAACTGAAAGCACAAAGAACAAACTGGAAGAAAACATTTGCAGCATACATAATGACATTATTTATATAATGGTATCCTAAAATGAATATGAAAAAGACAAACGAATAAAAAGGAAAACAGGCAAATAAAAGAACACACGGTTTTGGAAGAAATATAAAGTTTAGTGTTATAAAAATAGATATTTGTGTGGAGTATCTTTTGTTTTGGCCTTATTTGATTATGGGGAATCATATTACTGATTACAGTTTTGGTAGATTTAGCAAACAAGGTAACCAACTGTATTGACTCAAACAATGAGATAGTCACTTAAAGTTAGTCAGTGAGATAATTTTTCTTTGGAATTTGAATCATTAGCAGAGAGACAACCTACAAAATGGCAGTGCAAAAGACTAATGGTTTTCTAAAAATTTCAAGTAATTGTTATAAATTGGAAAATTATGTCCTATAACACCTATTATACAGCAATCAATCTACTAAATCAGTGGTTCTCAGTGCTACTTGTACATAATCACCTGGCAAGCTTTTAAGAAATTCAAACACCTGGTCAGACCTCAGATATTCTGAATCTGGCTACACAGACCCTGCCCCAACCCACCCCCAGCCCTGACCTCAATCTATACCTATTACTTCATAAGAATTTCTCTATTTCCATTTTTTAAGTATGAAAAAAAGAAAAAAAAAACTGGTTTACCAATACCTTAAATGCCTTCTCATATGTTTTATCAGGGGGAAGCAATTGGTCAAATAGAACATTGAAGTAGCGAGTGAAGACTGTTATCTAGTCACTGGGAGCATATAAGTGGTGTACTATCCAACAACTGTAGTATGTGCACCAAACTACATGGTGCTGTTTTTACCCATGTCACAATACATGGCTCTAGGATCCAAAGGTAAAGCTTGAGTAATGAAACTTACAATTGCATTTAATATTCACTACAATGGTCATTTTTGTGTGTGTTAACCTGGCTGGGCCACAGGGTGCCCAGATATTTAATCAAACATTACTCTGGTTGTTTCTGTGAGGTTGTTTTTAGATAAGATTAACATTTCAATGACAGACTGAGTAAAACAGATCACCTACCATAATGAAGATAGGCCTCATTCAATCAGTTAAAGGTGTGAATAAACAAAAGTCTGACCCTCCCTTATGTAAGAGAGCATTCGCCTGCCTGACGGTCTCAGAACTGAGCTTTTCCTGGTTCTACAGCAACCTGCTAGTCTTGAACTGGGACATCAGCTTTTCAGATTTTGGACTTGCTAGCCTCCATAATCTTGTGAGCCAATTTTTTTAAATAAATTATTCTTAAACTTCTCTCTCTCTCTCTCTCTCTCTGTTTCTCTAGAGAACACTGGTTCTTTTTCTCTGAAGAAAATTGACTAATACACCCACTTTCAAACATTTGCTTCCCATCCTCTTGGTTTTGAGCTCATATGACTTAGAGGTTTTAAAACTAAGGAGAAAGAGGTACATGTCACCATATAAGACAAAGTTTTCATTAAATTAGATGCTAAAACTGTCACTTGGACATTCTGAGACTCTTCATATCCCTTGGCAAACAGGCAAAAAGGAAGATATGATGTTTACTGGTATAATTGACTCCAATTACCAAGGGGAAATTGGTTTGTTGCCATGCAGTGAGAATAGGGAGTACTTGTAGGATCTCTATTGCTATCATTGGTTTAGTTATTATGGGCTAGGTTACATGGATTAACAAGCAACCCAAAATCTTAGTGGCATAACCTTACAAAAGGCTTTTTTATCACTCATTATATATGGGTCATGGAAGCTCTCTTTCCATGTTTCCACTCAATGATCCAAGCTAATAATTGATAGAGTCAATATCTACAATATTGATGGTCACTGTGGAAATAAAGCATGCCCACAGTTTAATCTGAGAGAAAGCTATATGGCTGCTCAATATCTAAAGTGAAAGGAAGTACAGTCAAATCAAGTAACTAGAAGGAGACCTGGAAACACTAGATAGACAACACTAAAAATGTCATGTACCAACTTGCCTATCAGTAAAGGCAAATGAGAAACAAATGCGGCCCTATATAAATAATGTTACCAAAGTCTCAGATTTATCACATAAAAACATTTACTTCCCTTTACTAGGTAAAAATGTTCAACCAACTGACATATAGGCAGGAGAAATATTTTTAAGTTCCAGCTACAACTTTCAACCAGTTGTAAAATCAGGGCTGTAGACTTTACATGCATTTCATTGTTTATATTATTAAAAATACTATTTAATTAATTTTATATTTGTAGTTGTAATTTTTTCCTTACATTCTTTTGAGACCATTGGATAATGAGAAAATAGAATAGCCATCCCAGAGATATTTTCAGAAAATCAAAACTTGAAGTTGGATATAGTAACTTTGGGTAGTCTACATATAGGAAGACACAAGTGTCTTTTCAGTTATACAAGTATGTTCAGTAGCAGCAATATGTTGAGTGGTCTAACTTTTATTCAACTTATAACTTCAGAAAAGATGGAATGTTGGTTAGCCCAATTGTTGGACTTTGGTGGACAACTCTTGTTTATTCCTACCAAGAATTCACTTTTCATACCCAAGTTATAGAATCCTTATTGGCATTAAGGAAACAAACCATTTAGACATTCTTAATAGGACTGTCAGTTGAGATGAATATCTCAAGATAAACCAATACATATGCTTTTCCCTGGGATTTGAACCTTGAGCAGAGAAATAAGACTACCTAAAACAATTGAAATCAATTTCTCTCAACAATAATTTTCAGGGGACTTTTGTTCTTTTATTCCTGATACTCTGTTTCCTCAATTTGTCCTGACTCCTATTTTTCTGAAACATCATTCTTTATTTTTACATTAATTCATAATTTTTCAGTAAATTTTATTTGGGATAATAAACCAGAGGACATTTCTGTTGCCTATAGAAAAGTAAGTATAATTAATACAATACTCAAGTTGGTAATTAATCAGAGACATACAAATAAAAATGGCAGGGATATATTTTCACCTATCACATGGAACAAAAATGAGAATTACTGAAAATAGCCAGTTTAAGGGAGCTTGTGGGAAATAAGCATTATTATACACTGTTGCTGAAATTATCGTCTAACACAAATTTTTTAGATAGCAATTTGGATGAACATGACACAATTAAAGTTGAAAATATTCTCAGTCAAGTGATTCTGCCTATAGCAATTTATTCTATGAAAACATTTGAACATGTTTCCAAAAATGCACAGATAAATGATCAAAATTAATTTAGCATGTTTGGTAACAACTGAAAAAAAAAAACAACAAAAATACGAGCTATCTAAATATCCTTCAAGAATGAAATAGCTAACAAAATTATAGAATATTGTGGATGCTCTGATTTGAATATGGTTTGTCCACACCAAAACTCATGTTGAGGCTTGGCACCCAATGTGGCAGTGTTGGGAGGTAGAACCTTTAAGAGGTGTGGCCTAATGGGAAGTGTTTGCTTCACGTGGGCTCTGCCCCTGTGGGTGGCTTGGCGCCTTTCTCTCGAAGTGAGCAAGGGAGTGAGTTAGTGGTGAGTTCTCACTCTCACATCTAGTCATGTAAGAGTGAGAACTTACCACTAACTCACTCACTCCTACATGACTGGATTAGTTGTCTTGGGACTCAGTCAGTCCTCAGGAAAGCAGGGTGTTATAAAGGAAGGACCTCTTTCATGTTTTGCTTCTTTGTATTTGTCTGCTTCCACTTCGACCTTCTACCATGTTATGATGCAGCATGAAGCCCTCATTAGAAACCAAGCAGATGCTGGTGCCATGCTTCTTGGACTTTCCTGTCTTTCAGAATCATGAGCCAAATAAACCTCTTTTCTTTATAAAGTACCCAGTCTCAAATATTCTGTTACAGCAACACAAAATGGACTAAGATAGTACAGCTTTTAGAAATAAACGAAACACTGAAATGGAACAATGCCCATCACATGCTTTGAAGTAAAAAAAGAAAACTGCAGAGCAATATAAAATCTGTACTCCAGGTTTATGTAAAAGCTATTTATCCTAAATATACATGTGTGTGTACAAATGCATTATAGATAGATAGGAATACATTAGTTTGTATGTGTATATGAGACCATTTGGGAAAATATACCTAAGCCAAAGCAATGGTAATCCCTGAGGAGTGGTAGTGCTTGAACAGATAAAGACATGCTCATCAAAAAACAAGTCATAGTGAAAAGTGTAACTTCAAATAACAATATCTCTAGATGTGTCAGACTGTTTAATTATTTAGTATTAAGTGAGGTAATGGTAATGATATTATCCTTGGACTTACCCTGGCATCGGTCCATTTCCAGCAAGACTGTAAACCTGACGAGGATTTAGTAGATACTGGAATTTTCTGTAAATTCTATAAAGATGAAAATATGTTTAAAAAAAGTTAATTTAGTGATACTCAATAATTTTAAAATGAGTAGCATCCCTTAATATTATAAATATATATGGTTATAGTTAAAGATATTTGCTAAGTTTTGCATTAATAGTATTAGTAGTATAACAGATCAATAGGAACTAATGGTTCTTTAAAGAGGGCTTAGTAGCCATTATAAAGGCAAATATAGCCTATAAGTTAGAAATAATGCTTGCATTCTAAATATGCATATGCATTTAGAATATTATCTAACCCTCTTTTGAGCATTGTTTGTCTAACTAATTAGATTTCTAATAAATATTTTTAAAAATATTTCAGCATAAAATTCCTTAAATATCTTCTCTCAGTAGATCCTTGTGAATAGATTCTTCTCTTCATAGAACTCAATATTAGGTTATTGGACCAACTTAATAGAAATGAACATTATCTTTCCCACATATAAAATGGGGTCCTACACTTTATATGTGTGTATGTAAGCAAAGAATGTGGCCTCACCCGACCTAATTATTTCACGTGAACAACAATCTTGATCAATTAGCTCACAAAATTGCTAAACTGTTTCCACAGGCATGTACTAAATAATTCTTTTTTTTTTTTTTTTTCTGAGAGAAATCAATCTTCGTATGACTAATGCAACAGGAATGTTTGCTAAGTACACACATATCCCACATGGTTAGAATTCTTAGACAAAATTTTAAAAGTGAAGGGATGTATTTAGTCTTTTAAATTAGTTTTTATATACATTTGGAAATATTACTACATATTTTATAAACACATTCAAATGGTATTTGCTGATAGAAACTTTCAAAATATGCTATGTAATATCTACTTGTATTATCTCGAGTTGTTCTAAATACCTCTTTTCTCCGGCATCTAAACCACATTAGTAGGGAATCCTGTGCCTTCTCACTGAGAAATGTTTATCAAACTTGGCTAATTCATCCCACTACCTTAGTTCAGGCCTTCACATTCTCTCACCAGCTCCACAAATTCTTGGCAATCCAGCCCTCTCCTATACTGCTGTTTGAGTACAGTCATGTTGTTTCCATGATGGAAAGGTCCTGCTAGAGTCAAGTTACTGACAATAACAAATTCAATGAGCACCTTCAATGTATGGTCTCACTCTTCCCATCCTTGCCCATAAAGATTAATGTTGGTAAATTCCTCCTGGCTGACACCATGCCCTTTCACAAATCGATATTTCTCCTTCCTCCATCTGGCAAATATCTACGTATATAAGAACCAATACAAAAGCTACTAATTCTATGAAGACTTGGCAGTTTTCAGAGATAGTTATTCCCTCCTCAGAATTTCCATAGCACCTTTATTTTAAACATTTCTAGTTTAACATTTACCATGTGGTAATATAATATATCTGTTTATGTGCTTGCCTCCCTACATGACTGTGTCTTATGGCTTTTATTCCTAGTATCTAGTAGAGTTTGGATTCACCCAGGGGTTGCTGTCTGAATGAATGATAGGTGAACACTTTCACACATGTTGACTGGTATGGGAAACTTGATGTGAATATGGAATTCTGTGACCTTTTGAAACGTATCTAACATATCCAAGTTGTAAAAGCCAAAAAATTTTGAAGAGAAAATATTGAATGGAATCCTACCGTGAAAGGTGCCTCTTATGCATGCAGGAACATTTATGTTTGCATTCATAATAGATCTCCTTGAAAACATATTTACATTTCACTTGACTTTGAATGGTCCCCTTCAGTGTATAAAGAACAAAACACAAGTGGGTGTGCATATAGGAGTACTCAAATATCCTCCCTGCCTCCATTAAGATTAATTTCCTTATGACTTTAGTGTATCAATATATATGTATGTATTTTTTTTTCCTTTTTGTCTTTTTTACTGACCGGTAACGGGATTGCAACCCTCAGTGTTGCGCCCACACCGCGCTCAGCCAGTGAGCGGGAACCGGTCTCCACATGAGATCCGAACCCTCGGCGGGAGCGCCGCTGCACTCCCAAGTGGCGCACTCTCCAGTGCGCCACCGGGCCAGCCCTATGTATGTATTTTTAACTTAAAGAAAAAAAGATGGCAGGTATTCCACTAAAGATCATTTTCCATGATTAATGTTATCTTAATTTGACGGAAATTTATTTTCCTTTGAAAAAATGTTTTCTAATTCCTTGTGAAAAGTTCACTTTTTTATGACATCCATTTTATATATATAAATAATGACAGACAAGCAGTAAAAAAGAAAATAATTTAGTCATTATTTAATTACTACTTCATAGCTCTATGAGTAAGGAAACTATTCTGTTTAATAAAGTATTGTGAATATTTTAAATTATTAAGCCATTATTTATTTAAAATAATTTCTATCACATTGGCATAGTTAAAACATAACTATATGTTGAAAAATGGGAAAAATTATCCTTTTTAAGTAGAAATAATATTTTGTTCACTGAAAAATGAAGAATACTCTATTTCATTGAAATAAAGCTGGAAAAGCTGGAATGTTTAATGATAGGAGTGAAAATTACTTTATGAAATTCCATTACTGATGGAAACATTTCAACTTTGTTATTTGGTGAACAACAAAGAAAATTTGTCTTATTGTTATAATGTTTGTGAGTGCTTTCACCTGTTTGCTTATTCTTGATTGGGATCAGGAAAGACATCTAGAAAGCATAAGGCTGGTATAACTGCATTTTGTTTATGACAGTCTTCTTTAATAGATTACTCTTTAATGTAGTATTTTTCATATTTGCATTAAGTATTATAATTTCATCATTAATTCATTACAAAAATGAAATTTTGTGTTCTCAGCTAGGAATACTGAGATACTTGACAATGCAGCTCATTATTATTCAGATTAAATATACTGTGCTTCTCCAGGAAATATGGCATCATGTTCTCCAAAATGCACATCATTATAATATATCTTCCCTAGAAGTCAGATATAAATTCTGTTCCTTAGTGCTGGGTTATGATTTACCTGGAGTCACCTTGTTGACCCTTTAGAGAACAAATTTTCATTTGACAACATTTTTGAAGTCACATTTTATGCAAAGCTCTTTTTCAAGGGCTGGGGTGATAGGTGGGGTAGAGAGAATTTATACACCTGAGTTATAACAATAAAAATATTTACAAAAGACAATTATATTAAAATTCCAACTATAAAACAAGGAGAGATTATATTAATATATTACATGTAGATGTTAGCATCATTTACATCACATTAAAATTAGTAAATGGTGAAGAATGCTTTTAAATATTTTTACATCATAATTTTAGTTTATCTTTTTACATATATATATATGACATAGAAAACAAAGATTGTTTTTAAAAACATACCGTTCTCCTTGCTTCCCACCACTTTTGGGGTTCACAAAAACTAAAAGTGGATGAGTACCAGGAATGGGAGTAATCTAGAAGAAAAGGTGGATATATGGACAAATTATTAGTCACAAGATATATGAAGAAGAATCCTTATTTCTAAGTCGTTTAATACCAATAAGTGAATTCAATAATATTACTGTTTCTTTCTGTCATGTATGTCTTTCTGTCTATCTATCCATACCAACAGGAATACCCCTCTGCAAAGATAGGTAGGCCTAGCTAGGTATACAGCAGAGGGGAAGACTGTTAAGAAGGAGAAATAACATTTGTAATAGCTATGAGATAAAAACAGAAGTTACCGTTTGCGGGACAGTGAGCAAACCAGCCGAATTTGAGCAGAATTTGAGGGGAAAAAGATTAGAGGCAAAGAAAGATATCTCATCATAGAGAGCCCTTCTTTACAGAGGACCCTAATATAGAGCTTCATGGCATATGTGGAATCCACCTTCCCAACCACTTGTGACCTAGAAACTCAATAAGATGGCTTGAGCTCCCTTTTGGCCTAAAACTCCCTCTCTACACAATCTTTCTCAATGCACAATCTTCCCAATTTTTCTTTCCCAGCTTGGTAAGTAAACTGCCAGTTAACGACATCCATTTGCTAAATAGGAGTCCATTAAATCTGGTCTCTCTGCCACTTAAGAACTGCCTATGTTCCTTCTATATGCCCCATGCTGCCGTCACCACTACTCACTTCTGTGTTGAAGAAAGACAAAGTGCCTGTCGTAATGGAGGTTATATTCTCGTGGAGAGATATACAATAAATAAACATACATTTAGTAGTGAAACTTGCGATGAAGGGAAAGAAAGCAGGTAAGGTGATAGCACTTAATGTATGGGGGATAGGGTTGTTTTAGGTAGAATGGCAAAGGCGAACTTGTTTATTTTACCTGACTTCCATGTTGAGGTAGACTCTTTTAAACAAAAATATTTGTATTTAATATACCTCTATGTAACCTCCATTTAAGCACAGTTTGACAAAAAAAAAGAATGTTGTAAAAAAAAAATTTGCAGCTAACAGAGCCCTCTAAATATTGAGAAGTTTTAGATCAATCTGCTTTTTGAAAGATTTAATGTATCCTTACTGCAGTGTTATTTCTCCTGTACAAAGTATCCTTAAATATTTAATGAGACAATTAAAAACAATCATTTCACCATATCATGCCCTTCCTTCCTGTCTGTTTAAACAATATAAGTTAAGATATTTAACCGACATATTTTCCTCCAATTCTTAAGTGAGATGGCATTTTTCTAATGAGTACTGGCAATAGGAAAATGTTAAAATCCTTGCATTAGCTAAACGAGTAGATTGAATAAGATATTCTTAATTTTTCTACTCATCCAGCTAGTTCTCGTTACAATCTATCACAGTCTCTGCTGCACTTTCTCTTGTAAAGAGGACAAGCATTCTTCGTTCCTAATTTGTCTCTAATTCAGCTGGGAAAAGAACGATCTGGAGTAACTTCTGCAGTAACTTCCCCATTCTTCTCCCCTGAACCAAATGTGCTCAATAAATTAATGTATATAAATTGCCTAAAATCTTAAAGCCATTGTGCTGCTGGCTTGCAATGGGTGCCCTTTCCCACCACTATGAGCTAAAATAAACACCAAAAACACCTATATTGAAACACTAGTGTTTAATTTCCTTTATTTTTCATCCTGTTACAAAATTGGAACTCCCAACGTTTTCATATGCAAAAAAGTAATATGACAGATGTAGATTTTAGTTGATTTTCACTTAGTTTGGATTGTTGCTTCTTGTTTTTAGGTAGAGGTGGGAATCTCATCTCAAGATAAGTAAAGGTTTTTGAGCCAAGTATTAAATTTGAACACAAATACTCATTAGGATGATTTTTCCTTTCCTCTACAAACTTAACATTCAGTTTACTACTAAATGAGAATACAAATAAATTCATATTGTGTCAGTCCATTATTTGAAATTCTTTTGAAAATGTGTCTTGGAATGTCTTTCAGAGGTTTATCTATTGGAATATTTAAATATATCTTTATAAGTTATCAAATAAGGGTCAGTAACAATTGTGTTCTAAATTAAATATTGTTATGAACAAATACATTTTCACTAGAATAGATTATAGTCTGTAAAGTGTCTCAAAATAAAATACAAAATCTAGATTTCAATTTTAGGGATAGCTAAATGAAGAAATAGATCAAATGGATTAGAGAAATGGAAGAGAATTTAAAGAATTCAGGAGAATGATGATAATTCACAAGTAATGAAAGGCAAATATACCCACTGAAAAAATTCAGGAATGATAAAATCAACTAGACAAACCTTTTCTTCACACATCCTTTATTACAGTTCAGGCTTATAAAATAAAACAATATAAAAATAATATGTATTTATTTGTAAATTCAGTACCATGGTTTAGAGCCCCTTGGTTGATGGTATTAACAGGTACTGACCTAATGTAACCCACATAATACCTAATGTGATCCATATCTAAGTGGTGATATGTGATTAACCATCAGCACCACTGAGATTCTGGTATTAAGGGAACACTTAATGGTGTTAGACTAGAAACATTAAAGTTCCAGGCAAATCTGCAATGTTTTTCAGTGCTCACTCAAAAATCTTTAAAATTGTGCTAACCTTTGCTTCTGTAAAAAGAAGGCCAATCCAGCCGAGTAAATTTGGGAGTCAGGAGACCAAAGACAGAATTCTTAGAGTTGAAAGACAAAAACCTGCAGCACTGGATAGTCATTTTCATGTCTGGCAAGTTAAAAATTAACAACTATTGTGTATAGTCATAGTCCTGAAGGAAGCAGCACATCTTAGTGGCAGTCTGCTACTGGCACCTAATTCCCATATCCCCCTTCCACATGAGTAAAAAAACCCTGGACATAGGGTAATTTAGAAAGACTGCTTCCTCCCATCACATCTGTATCTGTTGCTGCTTAAAGAATTTACATATACATGTGTGTGTGTGTGATTTCTTTTGAAGAGCAGCTTTAAGGAAGAAGTTGCAATTTTTGGTGTCCTGTCATGTAAAAGGATAAATACATATATTTTAAAAAGTGGAAAAATGTGTTTCTGTTTTGTTCAGTGAGATATAATTGAAAGTTGCTACAAGACTAAATTGTGTCCCCTTCTCCTTCAATTCATATGTTGAAGGCTTAACCCCCAATGTGACAATATTTGGAGATGGTGCCTTTGGGAGGTAATTAACATTAGACGAAGTCATGAGGGTGAGACCCTCATGATGGGGTTAGTGTCCTATAAAAAAGAATAATATATCTCTCTTTCTTTCTCACTCTCTCGGTGTACACAAGGCAGATGTCACCTGAGCAGACAGTAAGATGGTGGCTAACAACAAGCCAAGAGAAGAGGCCTCAGAATAAAACCTGCTGGTACCTTGATCTTGTACTCCCCGGCCTCCAGAACTGTGAAAAATAAATGTCTCTTGTTTAAGCCACCTAGTCTATGGCAGTTTTTTCTAGCAGCCCAAGTAGACTAATACAGAAATACTCTGCAAACTCAAGGTATGCTCTGTCAAAGGAAGAGTGAGAGCTTTTATACTTGCTCTTCCTGATGCCAGCAGGGAATTTGGAAATTATGGGGACCAGCAGCCTCATAATTTTTGATCTTTCATTATCAGGTGTCCTTGAAGATGTCACAGATGGAAGGCATGAAACAGAAAGACAGGAGTACCATTCCTGATAAAAAGAGAGTTGTCTTATCAGCTCCAGAAATCCTACTTCTAGACTTCATTTTCATGAGAGAAAATTGATGGCTGTCTTGTTTAAGGTACTGTTATGTTTCATTTATTCCTTGTTTTTGCTGTTTCCCTGTTACATGCTGCAGATGCTAATTGTAACTGATGTGAAAGACAAGATCCATAGGACCTCAGAACTGAATACCGATGGAAACTGGCATAGAGAGACACTTAATTCTTCATTAGACTTGTTGATATTTCTATTCTCTGAGGGAACAACAGTAGAAACTTGATACTGAAACCCTTGAATAGCTTCTTCATTTAATTTTACATTATACTGTTCTCATTATTGAGTATGTGAATATTTATTTCAGTCAATCCTGTAACTTACATGTAGGTATTGCTAGATGTGATATTTCAATTCATTAATTCAATCTGACTATTTGATTCCAGATCCTGGTTTCTAGAAAGGTCTATTAAATAAGTACTAACTTCCCTCTTCTTTACAGAATTTATTATGTGGGAACTGCTTTGTAAGGCAAATCATTTCTATTGATTAAAGAAATATAAATAGTTTTCTTAGTTTCTAAATCTTAGTATATCTGGTTTTAGCAAATAAAGTTTTATGGTAATATCTTACAATAATATTTTTAAAAATTTTACAATGATATTTTTATTTTCTTTTTTTTAAACAATCTCAAGTTTACAGAAAAGATGCAAGGACTGTACAAAGAACACTTTTCCCTGAACCATTGGAGAGTAAGTTGCCAAAACTATGCTTCTTTACTACCAATAACTTTTGAATCACTTACACACAAGAACATTGTATTACATACATACAATAAAACCATCAAAATCAGGAAGTTAACATGATTCTGAAATTTGTTTATTAAAAGATAAAAGATGTTATTAGGACACTTGCTGAAACTTGAATGGGATCTGTCTGAGAATTAGATAGCAGTTATGCATCAATGTTATTTTCAAGTTTACTAATTCTCCTTTGGACTGTATCTAATCTATTCTTTAATGTGGTTAATTTGAATTTTTACTTCCATACGAAAATTTTGCAATAAGATATAAAACTCTTATTATAAAGACTGACTTATTGCCATCCTCAAATATTGTACTTCTTTGCTATAGATTTTGGTGGGATGGGAGGCAAAGACAAAAACCCAAATATATCAAGAATTCTATCAGCCTAAAAGTATTTATTTTTAGAATACATATTTTTATAGCATTTGAGATAATCTTAAGTGGAATGATATATAAAACAGATGAAAGCCAAGTTGTTCTTTTTAAAATGTGAAACAACCCTGAACCTGTTCTCAGTCTCCCATCACCCCACCATTGTGCTTAAGGCATCTCTACAGAACCCTTTGTCTTCAAAAGGGTTATATGTTCAAAATAGCTTTTAAAAAGCCTTCAGATAGAGTAATAAAGGGTAGCAAGGAAAATATTGATGAAGGGAGAATGTGTTCATGGAAGATTTTATAGAATCTTTGGTACTTGACATCTTAAAGACAGGTTATAAGTTAGGTATGAAGGGCATTCTAGAAGGAGATAGTTCATATTAGATTCTCCTTTATACTGAATAAAGTTAATCACACAAAATCTTATTTACTCATATAAAGGGGAACTTTAGTATAGTACGTTTAAGGAGCATGACATTGGAGTCAGACTGGCTTTGAATTCCAATTCAATCACTCATCTCTATATACACTCTCTCCCTTAGTGATCTCATCTTATCTGATGGTCTTAAGTGCCATCAATATGCCTTTTACTCCCAAATTCATATCTGTCATTTCTCCTGATTTCTAGTTTCTCCTGTTGGTCTGCCTATTTGACATCTCCACGAGGATGTCTAATAGCATCAAAAAGTTCTCTGTGAACCTTATTTCCCCAGAAATTTTTTTCATCTCAGTTGATGACTACTCTATCATTTCATGGGCCAAACCATCTTGGAGATGTTCCTGAATCTTCACATTTTTATAAACCCTATATCCAATCCATCAGCATATCCCTCTGATTGGTCCTCAAAATATTTCCAGAATCCTCTCATATGTCTCTATCTCCACCTGACAAGTCTCCATCCTATAACCATAGATAACTATGGTAGTTATCTCTTGAATTCTCTGCTCTCCAACAATCTGATCTTAACGAGAGTGAGTCTTTTAACATATAATTCAAATCATGTTGTTCCTCTGCTTAACCCTCCCCCCAATATCTCTTCATCTTGCTCAGATCAAAAGTCCAAGTCCTTGTGCAGGCCTTCATGGCTTTACTGCATCTAGCCCCTGATACTTCTCTAAATACTCTCTACCAGTTTTTACCTTTCTCACCCTACTCCAACTAGGCAGTTGATTTTATTGATCCTAGAACTTTCTAGGCATATACCTGCCTTAGTACTGCCCATTCTGCATACATTCACATGGCCAACTACCTTAGTTCTTTTAAACCTTTACCTTAATATCACCTTCTTCATGAGGCTTCATCTGGCCATCTTACTTAAAATTATAGATGGCTCCAATTCTCCTCCCTAATACCTCTTACCTTCCTCAGCTCTATTTTTTTTTTCATTGCTTATCATCTAGCTATGATGGAGACAGTGACTCAGTTGAAAGATTGTTGGCATACTCAAACTATAGAAGAATAATTCTGAACTTAGGGTGTGAGAATGACAATGAAGAGCTGATTATGAAAGAGTCAATAGACGGAAGATCCTAAAGTGAGCAAGGGATACACACACACACACACACACACACACTCATACACACATGTCAATCAAAGAAAGGGGATTAATTTTATATGCATGCTATCTAGTTATGTATGGTGTGTGTGTGCATATTCAGTGTATAGTCTCAGTGATTACAAGAATTGTAAATAAGAAAGACAGTAGGGAGAAGTAGTTGTGTGGAGAAAAACACTGGTTCAGTTTTAGATATTTAAGGATAAAGGTTCCCCTTTTTCCATGTATTAAAAGTATTGCAAACTAGATGCCAGTTCTCAAGTGACCCTTTTATTTGGAAATTTTTCTCAAAGAACATTTAGGAATAAGGTAACTTCATCATAATGCAGTTAAACAATTGTTATGTTTTTATCCTTATTTGCTCATAAGTGCAATAGTCATCTGTAGTTTTATATCTCTTGCATGTTAAGAATTTGTAGTTTCAATTACATTGGATCATATGGATTAAGTGTAAACCTATGGTGTAAGCGATGACAAAGACAGAGTGCCTAACCACCTCTATTTGAAGTCCCCTAGGACTTGGGTTAATTAATGAGACTCATCCTAAGGTTATACATGATCTATTACTTCCTCTAATTAGAAATAATAATCCTGATCATTATGCTGGTTAGCTGGAAAGAAATAAGATGAATGTGCTTAACTATGATTAATAGTCTTCTTTAAGCAGTGTAGATCTCTTCTTGTCACTGAGTCATATGCAAACTGAGCTGCAACTCAATGCTTTTTCATGATATATATATACTTTTAAAGCTCACAGAAAATATTAACTTTTGGTAGATGCTTTTAACTTTACTGGTAAAAAACAACTATTTTAATATTTTTAAATTGACAACCACAATATAAAATCACTATTTTTACCTGTTTTGCATGAAATAGCTATCCAGAAATTTATTATTATTTTTTTTTACATTCTCTCCAAAATTATGTGAATACCTATGTGTCCATTCTGCTGAGGTATAAAAGACTTTTGCACATATTTATACACCAGCTTTTAAAAATTCAAAATATTATTATGATGATTACAGTTTTATTTATTTACTGCTGTTTTGATAGGGGTGATATCTACCCTTTGCCTACTGACAACTTTAGCTGACACTTTTATATGCCAAAAACTTGTGAGAACTTATTATCTGGTGAGAGAGATGAAACATATTCATAGAGGATGTTAATAATCTATGTTTTTTAATGTGGCCAATTTAGGTGTACTAAGGTCGAATATTTCAGATTATTTTGGGGAAAAAAGGAAAGTAGAGCTTATATTGCTATGTAAGCTTAAAGCCTTTAAAACACTATGCATGTACCACTTAATTTTTGAGCATCAATATGATCATTTTGAAAATGGTGATAATAATAATAATAATGGTATTGATCTCATATATTTATTGAGAGAATTAAGCAAGTTAATATGAATGAAATGTTATCATATGTCTTAGGTTATATTGCTCAGCAAATAATACATGCTTCCTTTCCATGATGAGAAGTATGTGTCTAGACACATGTGAAATATAATTTAATTTAAAAATTAAGCTTCCCTTTTATTAATTTCATTGCAGGAACCCAGAATTACTAAATATTTAAACTGATCAATATTTGCAATAGATGTGTTAAATCCAAATGTTGATTTTTTTCAATAAAATTTTTATAGGACCTCTTAATTAGCAAATTTTCTTTTGCTATCAAAACTGTGGGTAGATTTAATATTTCAATGGTAATATTCCTTCAATTGGATTGCTAGACACAAAGATATGACTTCCAAAAATTATATCCTGATTTCCTTTTTTGATAATTAAATTATATATTCTTTAACAAATGCAATGATTTTATCATTCAGAATTTCCTCTTTTTACATTTGAGTTTAATAATTCATAAAACATTTTCTGTTCATAATGTGTTTTATTGAATCAAAACCAAATAGTAATCTAGTTATCAATATTTAATCAATTATTATTAAATTTTCAATGAGATATTCAAGACAAGAACAAAGCACTTAGCTATCTACTGTGTGCCCTGAACTGTGCTTATAAATTAAAGAATATAAAATACATAATCCATAGTATCACAGAGGAAATAATAAATAAAAGAAGATATAAAATCACGTATATTGAATGCAAGTGTGTGCAGTAATCTCTGTGTGTTAAGTTGTTGGTAAGTTTTCCTGAAGAACATAAAATGTGAAGCATATTCTTAAGGAAAAGAATAGGCAATTGAAAGACAGAAACATACGTATAACCTGAACTCTACAATTTCATAGATTAAGCCAAATTTGTTGGCTTAATTGAAAGATTGTTGGTATACTCAAACTATATTTCATATTAAAGTGAGAAACAGAAGCAAATAAATACAATACATTCACCGTGTAAAATGTCTTAAAATGCATCTGAAGAGAAATGTTATTTTTGATATCAAGGACCATAGGGATAACCTATAGGCTTTTAAAGTATTTAAAAAATGATTTTGAACTATCTGGGTTTACTTAAAGTAGAAATATATATAGACTTTAAATTTTCACTTAAAACTTTGAAAGCTATAGATAAATTACAATAAATTATTTATTTTTATTATTTATTTAGGAATAAAAGTATCAACACAAAAAGAGTTCATTATCTTCTTCCCCAAAAACATATTTTTGCCATCAAAATGACTCTTCAAAATGATACCCATACTAAATATAAATGCACGTATATAGACAGAGAGTGAGAGAGGGTATACCCATAAATAAGTAATACATATGTATACAATAAATGTGTACAGTATATTTAGCAGTAATTTCCAAAAACTTTCAGATTGACAAAGACCATTTGCCAATTTGAGTTTAAATGAAGATAACATCGTAAATGATTAATCCAACCAGAATGTCACTCTGTCAATCAACTATAAGACTGACATCTTGATAAACTAATAAAGATCTTTCTGAAGCAGTCTACTAAGCTAATAAGCACATGAAACAAATGTTGATTGATGAGCATATGTTCCTCTGAGAGCCTGGAAGTAACAAATATGAAAGCTACTAAAATTAGGATATAAGAAATTATACCTGCAGGCCTTGTCCATCTACAGTAACAGAGTTGGCTCTTTGCATTTTGTTCCTGTCGGAGACTTTGTTTGGCGGCTGGGAACTGCCCTTTTCCTTTTTCACTGTTGCTTGTCTTTCCTGTAAGAAAAATATTTTATAAAAATTTAAAACTACAATCAAAATAAAAATAAAATGTTTAGTTGTTTCACTAAAAGGGGTAACTAATAAAAGAGTTTCATGGTTATAAAGTTGGGCCCAACTTCCTAATTTGGAGTTCCTAGTGAATACTATGAAAGCAGTTTCTTTCAAATGGCTCAATGTATGAGATACTTGTATGATCAAAATATCAATTAAAGAAACAATGTGAAAGAAAACCAAATTGTATTATCCCTATGTGACCAATTGTGATTCCTTATCAAAAGTTTATGGACCTCTAAATTTGATTATTTTCATAAACAATGGTACAGATAAATAAGAGTCTTCTAACTTAAGGGATTTGGTAGTGAATACTAAAAGAATGCTTATAAATACATGGATTCTAATGGCATGATGGAATTTTAAGCTACCGCTTATATCAGGGATGGCATATAGTTTAACACTCACATTCCACCCCAGCTGATTCCTTTATCTCCCATAATGAAAACATTTCTTTGAGGAGCTGTCTGTTCCCTATTTCTATTTCCTCTCTTTTCACTCTCTCTTCAACAGAACCCAATCAACTTTCATCATCAGTGACCTTCTCATTGCCACATCGCATGGTCGGTCTTCTCAGCTTTTCAGGGGCATTTGACAGACTGATCTCTTCTCACTCCTTGAAAACTTGCCACACTTGGCTTCCAGGACACCTTCATCTTAGCTCGCTTCTCACTTCACTAACTGCTCCCTCTCAGAGTGTCTTTAACTCGTTCTTCCTACAGCTTCGCAATCTTTAAGATTTGGCTTCTTCCTTGGACCTCTTATCTTTATTGTCTACACTCGCTCTCACTCCCTAGGTTAATTCATTCGTCCCCAAGGCTGTCAATTCCAATTTTATGAAAACTTCTCAATGTATAATTCCTGTTCTGATCTTTCTCTTGAACCTTAACTCCAATATACAAATGACCTTTCTATCTCTCCACATGAACCACACAGCAATCCTAAAATGTCCAAAACTAGTTTCTTCTTATTCCTGCCTAACCTCCTCTTGAAAATAAATCCCAAACTAGATGACTACTCAACACCTCCATCATTACATGGTTTAAGCAATGATTATCTTTTTCATCAATGTGGATTATCGTAACTGTCACCTAATGGATCAATCTCTTTGCATCTTCGTCTCCCTACAGTCAATTCTCTAAACAACAGCCACACTCAGCCCTTTTCACTCCACTACAGCTGCACTGACCTCCACATTGTTCCTTGATCACAACAATCATGCTTTAAATTCAAGGTTTCTGCAATCATTCTGCACTCTTGGAAAACTTGCCCTTTTATATTTGTTGGAATTGATCCTCATTCCTCACTTCAGGTCTCTGGTCAAATGTCAAAGAGGTTTTTCTCTTCCCTTCAGCCTCCATTTTAAATATCATTTATTATAACCTGAAGTGTTACTAACTTGATTTGTTTAATGCCAGTTTTCCCCCATTAATCAGAGTTCCATAAGAGTAAGGACTTTTTTTGTTTCACTGGTCTATATCAGATCTTAGATCAATGCCTAAGAAAAGTCAAGGTAAATGAATAAAGAAACAAATAAAACTTACATTAAAAAAAACAATTTTTGAAAAAGTTCCTGAGGCATTGTGTTGAGAGGATTCTTGGGCCATGTCTAGGCTTGATGTGAAAAATTGTTCCGATTGGTAAGCAATGAGTGCCATGGGTGCTTAAGTGTTTTAGGTCCATATATTTCCTATCATTTACTAAAATATTGTACGTCCTAGTTCCTATATATTTGCTTGTAAGAGTATCATTTCATTTTCTGTAATTTAGGAAGTATATTCAAGTAGCTTTAAAATAAAGCTGTTTTTCAATATATTAGGACTAGATAAATCAGAAACCTCTGACCAAAATAAATGTTAATCAGTATTGTCCATTTACCTTGCAATTTCATGGTGAAAAAACACTTAATATATTTTGTGTGTGTGTGAAAATGAATGGTATAATAGAAATCCTGAAATTTAAATTCTTTGGATAATGATGTGCTTTCACATAAGCATAATTTCTGGCAAAAATATTGATTTTTTAAAGGATGCTCCTTCTTTCTAAGCTTGCAATTTAAATTTTATTCATAGATAGTTAAATGATATAAAGCATAAGAGTGAAGGATGAGGTTTGGAACCAAAAAGCCTAAGTTGAATCCCGTCTGTGCTACTTAAGTATTATGGAATCGAGAGAGTTTACTCCTATGCAAAATGGAGACTCGCCTTCTCAGACTTGTGTAAGATTTCATAAAAAATGCATAAAGTCCCAAGCATTATGCCTGTATTACAGTACATGCTCAATAAATGAAAGTTATTATGAATAATGTAAAATAGGTTTGGTTCCCCATTTGGGTGCTCATTAATATTATCATTATGCAAAGTGTTTCTTATATTTCCAAATGCATATATATGAAAAAAATTCACCAGTTATATTAGGCATGTGTTTAAATAAATAAAGCTCAATGTTTATATTTGAAAATGCACAGTTTGTGTTAGGAATTCAAAAACATAATGCTGTTGGTGAGTATGAAAATAATTTACTTAGGAGTTCTTGTACACAGATACGTAAAACATGGAATCGATATTTTGTAAATATGTACAATGTGAAAGACATACCTTACTACAGTTATTCTGCCATATAATCCAATGATTATTATTTAGTATTGAATTCAGAAATGCTTAGGTTAGAAGAATTAAATAAAATTGAAGTCAATTAGTCACATTGGAACTGGGTATTTGTAATAGATTATGTATACATGTAATACTGGAAATTTAAAATATATAAGTACATGTTTGTAAAGAGCTATCAAATCATCTATTATCATTATTTTATTCTTGGACATGCATATAGCTAAGGAAATTGCTGTGTGGGAAGAACCCCCAGCTAACAGAGATAGTGGTTAGCAGACAGTATGAAGTAGCTCCATGTCCCTGAAAATGCCTATAATACACAACTGTAAAAAATAGGAAAGCAAATTTAAATTGAGTTAAATTGAATTTAACTAAATTGAGTTTTCAATTGATGAGAATTTATTTTTGAAATCTAGAATTATGAGAAAGATGTATGTAGCAAGCTAAGTTTTAAAAAATCCTCAGTATATCCATCCATATGTGTATTTTATTATATAATCTAGCTAATCCTAAAATGGTAAACATTTATTTAAACACACACACAAACACACACAGACACATCAAGAAGACCAGGTGATTTCTTTGTTTTTTGGGGGAAATGCTAGTATGTAAAATTTGTAGAATTAATCAAGGCTGAAAATTTAAAAGCAATAGAGACTCATAACCATTTAATTTTTCCCAGGGATTTCTTATTATTATGCTCTTTTGTTTTATGTTTTTTTCCAACTTGTTTAGAATCCTCTCTGAGATATTTGCTGTAATTTGTTTAAGCAGCTTAAGCCAAGAGACAATTTTACTTCTTTCCATTTGATATGAGGAATGGGGAAAGCAATTATATCCTGGAAAAATCTACTGTCCACAAGGATTTCACCAGTCTTTTGGGGCGGTTAATTAACCCTGACTGAGACAGAGCTCTATTATGATATTTAAGAGAGTTAATTCCCAATGTTGAAGTTATTGAAAAGTTTCAGGAAGAGTTCTTCAATCTTATTTTGCATCATCATTCAGGATAAAATTGTTCTCTAACAATAGGGGCATTTAACCTTCAGTTTTTTTTAAGTTTTTGGGCTCTAAACCACAAAATAAATTACATTGTTATAATTAAGGCAAATTTCTTTCCGCCAGATACATTTTACTAGATATAAAAAGAGTTGGAAAATTATTGCTTTAATCAATAGACATTATTTGAACACTGAAAAGAACTACTGTGACTGAAAAAAAAAATCATGAAAGAATATAGAACACATAACTAAAAAATATAAAGGAGTTATTGGTATTTAAGCATTTTAAATATTAAGCATTTGTGTTTGCTATGCAGACATTTTAAATATAGAATTCAGGGTTTTGTGATCCATTTACTCCACAAGTAGCACAACAGATCTTAACTGGGGAATATATTGTATTAGAATTTCAAAAGAATAATCATGATAATAAGCAGAGAAGAAAAGCCAAAAAGACAATTCACAGAAAACAGAAGATGAAATAGATAAATAAAAGGACCTCACTTTAAATATGTGCTCTGAAAAAATCTTTTTCTGTATCACGCTGATTCTCAGAGGTAGAGTATTTGTACGTTGGTGAAAACTGCTTTCACAAAAGGGTTGTTTACCACAATACTTAAGTCTGCTGTTATTGATCATTTGCAAACTACAAGCAGCAAGTGATGATTACACCCATCACAGGCTCTTCTTCTTTTTGTCCAATCTGAGCATGCGAGACAGGCAGAGGCAAAGCACCTGGACTGGTACAAAGCTACAAAGGCGAGTGCCTTGCTGCAAGCAGCAACCATTTCTCATCCTGGCACTTGCTTTCTCTGATACTGCCCAGTCTGCCTGAATGTAGACCTAGCCCTTTCTGCCACTGGGTTAGGCCACAGGAATTTCCCCAAAATCCTCACTGACATGTCTATATTATCATAGTCTTCAAGCTCTCCCTGGAGCAGAAGTGCCACCATATTCATCAGGGAAGAAAAAGGTTAAGAGCTCCAAGAAACCAACTTAACAGCTGCAAAGCTGCACTTTTAATTAGTATGGACTTATTGTGGGATTTGAACGTTTTACGAGCTGAGCAAAACAAATTCATATCAAAAGTGGCAAAGGATCTAAATCTAGAAATCCTTGGAAGTTGCAGCCAAACTTCTGACTAGCAAAGTAGTCTTAATTTTTAAACATATTTCATAAAGTTTTAAACATAAATATAATAAATGATGTATCATTAAGTCTAAAGTTTTCCACTTCTTTTAAATTTAGTTAAATAAGTACTTACTAGAAAATAAAGACAAAAATAACTTTGGGCAAAAGCAAAAGTATGGGCTTAAAGGTCGAATCCCAACTTTGTCTCTCATTATTGCGTAAGTTTGGGCAAGTTATTTACCATCTCTAAGCCATATTTATTTCACCTATTACATGGTTCATGTGAACATACATTGATAAAATTTAGATAAAGGTGCTGGCATAAAAGAGGCACTCAGTATATGGCAGTGATTCTTAAAATATAAATAAGGAATTTTGATGTATTTCATTATTAAGTTCATCACAAGTGTGCTGCTTAGGTCATAGTAGTTAATGGTAGTTATTGTGAAGAAGGGCTTTCTTTTCTTTATTGTACTGTTTTTGCCTGCTAAGTCACCGTAACTAGGAATATTTATTATGATGATTTGAGTGGCATCTTTGGGGGAGATGGGAGGCAACAAAGTAGACAAAATGAAACCTAGTACCTCTCAAAGTACCTGGACGTGCTGCTCCACAGATACAGTTTATCACTTGATCCATAAGTCCAGGTTTTCACACATCACACATGATGTACATATTTTCTCCTAGGATAATTTCATACTGGGTGTAAACCACTTACAAGATCTCTGTTATAGAAATGCTGGTTGGAGGGAATGAAATTTGGGAATGAGAGGATCCATGCCAAAATTACTTAATTTTGGCTGTGCAATAGCATATGGCAGCACCATTTTAAAATAATATTAGATGTGTATGTGTGTGAGTGTATATATTATTTACTTACATATATATTATATGCATATATATATATATATATATATATATATATATACACACACACACACATAATTATATATCAAAGCAGACTTTGTAACCAACCTCAAGTTCACTAACTCTCCATTCCCTTTGTAAACCATACTGATTGTTGGCCCCTGTAAACTGAAGGTTAAAAGTGAGACAGCTCTCTAGTACTCATTCTCATTTTCTTTCTGCCAGTAAGCTAAATGTTTAACATAGTGATTTCTCTGTAGGCTCCAATCTGTGTATGCCCATTCCAAATAAAATTGATCTTGTTATTTTGACTGTGTAATTTAATTATCACTCAAACCATTGCATTGTGAGCACAAAATGAAATAATTGTTTCCCTGAGAAATAACTTGCATGTTTTGGAAAGACAGTAATTCTAGCTACATGTGTGTGTGTGTTGTGGGGGTGGGGAGGAGGGATATCAGATGTGGAGCAGTCAGGTTAAGTTTAAACTCAACTGCAAAAGCTTTGGAAATTGATAATAAAAGTAGAGATTATTTTACACTCAAATTGCCTCATAGTTGTCCTTGAGTTTTTGTTATACTTTTAAAACAATTGGAACTGAATATCACGGGTGATAAGATTGTGATATATGCAAGAAAGGCTACATACCATTTCCAATAAGATCTGTCCTCATAGAAAAGCTCTTGATCCTAAGTCAAAAGTGTAGCCAACGAATATACATTTACAAATTTTAAATTAAATGTGTAATATATATGTTTTTGTATGTTCTCTCACATATGTTTTTACCACATTTTCAGTTAACCAAGGAGCAATTATTCCTGATGATGAAGCATAAGGTTTCTTGTGTGTATGTGTGCACGTGTGAATGTATATGTGTACATGTGCATGTGGATTCACAGACTTCCCCGTGCATATGTCTAAACATGGGTTTGGGGAATTTTTGGAACAACATAGTTGAAAAAACTTTAATAATGATTTAAGGGATAGTAAAAACTTGCAGTTAATTTAAACCAATATATCTTGCCAGAAAAAAAAGAAAAAAAGAAAGAAAACTGGTGTAGAAAGACTTTTGGAAGCTTTACATTAGAAAAAAATGATTTTTATAAAAAATTTTAAAAAACATATTATGAAAACAAATTTTGTTCTATTTATTCAATCTGTATGATACAAATGACATAGTTGAATATGAGAGATTTGGGGAGACTAACAAATAAACTTTCAATCTCAAATGCAGTGTCTACATTCACTTGATTGGATCTGTAAGAGGGGAAAAAATAAGCTCAAGAACCTGAAGATGTTAAATTAATTTTCTAACACTAATAGATGACCATTATAAACTTTTCTATCACTTCTGTCACTTGAGTGTGTAATTTAAATTTATTATTATTTTATAATAATTATTATAATAATGGTATCAACTCACTTAAAAAATACAAAGTCTCTTAGATTAGAAACATTATACTTCAAGCATATCTCCAAGGATATTTTCAAGTATGTCTCTGGTTAAAAATGAGAATTTTCTAAAATCAATGATTCTAGACCTGATTAGAAACTATTTTTTGGTGGAGAAGGGAGATCGGTTATTACACTTTTATGCAATTATATTATCCTTTAAATAAACTCATACTCTTATGTAGTATTCATATATTTTATGTAAAACTTTTACAAGCAAGCAGATTCAAATTATAATTTTCAGGGAAATAATACCATTTGGGCATTTCCTATAGAGATAATAACAAATGAACAGGGTATTATCACAGAACAATGTGGAGGCTTTGCTTCATTATTGAAAGATAAAGCTAACTCTTTACTAAAAATAAATGTTGTGGCAATGCTTACATTTACTTTCAAAATAGAAGTCATATATTCTGTGACTATATTTTATTCCAGTGTCTTGCTACATGATTAATGCAGATGTACTCTTTTTAAAGTGATGGGCACTTCAAAGTGAGAAAGAGTTTAATATAATGTGATTGAAACCTACATTTGGATGTGTCCAGGAATGGAATTGATTGGGATTTTCTGAAATATATTTACATTTAATACAACAAATAAGAATAACACTATTTTTATATGTGATCAAAACTTTTTGCAAAGCAAACTTGATCTTCTCTATATACTTTGTGTTATATCACTTCTTGGTTTCCCAATACTTGCCACAATGTAGACTGAAAATTCTTCAAGTCTATCCCCTCACTGAAAATATAAAGATCCCCCTTTCCAAATATAAGAATATGAAAAAAATAAAATATGAAAATTAATATTAGCGGGTCACCGAGCCATCCCACAATGTTCTTAATAGTAATATAAGATATACAATGATCTGTAATTTCAAGTGTGTAAACCTTTTTTTGCTTACGCACCTCAGGAACTGAAACTCCTGAAGTGGGCAGATTCTGCTGAAAAAGAGAAATTCATATTAAAGCTGAAAAAAAACCAACCAAACAAACTGAAAACAAAATATCAGTGAAGTTTCTCATATCACTATACTCCTGTGAAATAAATTAATAAATTTAAAAATACATTTCCTTGTTATAATTTTTCTGCTTCTTTGGGTTAAATAAATTAATACGTTTTTGTTAAATAAGTGATGCTCTAATGTTGAGTGAGTAAGGTTGTGAAATTGTTTATTAAAAATACACTTCATCTACTCAAAGGACATTGACCAACATCTACGGCCAGCTTCGCAGACCTCTCTAAACATTGATGTATTGCATTCATATTTTGGAAGAAGAACTCATCTCCAAGTTCCATTATCCTTCATAAATAATTACTACTACCATTTAATTTGCCCCTTTACCCATCCCACTATTCCATTTTCCAGTCCAACTCTCATTCCTTCCTAAAAATACTCAGTGTCTTTTGAACGTAGACATAGCTTACATGTTGATTTTATTTAGCGATACTCTGAAAATAAGAAAAAAAAATCCATTAATATCACTTAAATTAAAAAAATAAATAAGTAGCAAAAATTTTACTTGAGAGTAATTTTTAAAAGATGAGGTTAAAAACACTGATGCTGGTCTTTATGACAGTGTGTCTTCAATAATCTACCACCATCACCCTGTTCCTGAGTCACACTGGAAAGATTTGTGTGTGTGTGTGTGTGTGGCAAGAAACAGAGAAAAGGTTGCTGAATTCCAAAAACCTGCATTCTGTGAAGCTCAGAACACGAATTTTAAAGAAGAGTTGGCAAATCACACACACAATACTAGATAAAAGTTTTCCCATGGTGGAAGGAGGTGGGTCAGAAAGTCTGATGGGAAGCTAAGAGTTCTTGGATATTTGTGTGTCCCCCAAAAGGAGGGATTGGTCAGTGTACTACATTTTCCTCCCCAGATCCAAGCTATGCAAGGGAGGATGTGGATGGATGCTAGATCACCAAGATGGAAATGAAAAATCTGAGAGCACAGACACTTTTTCACTCCCTTACCCAGTAGAATCCCAGGAAAGCAACAAGAACCAAAATAATAAATGGCTACACATGAGGTAAGTAAAACCTCAGACACCCTTCCAGCTGCATAGCACAGTGATATATACATATATACGTGAACACATACAGTGATACAGATATATAAGCAATTGCAAAATAATGCCAATTACTGTAGAAAGGCTGGGAATATATTGGATTCATTCCATTGTGTTTGAGAATTTTAGTAATAAAATTTGGGAGAAAGAAATTGCTCTTTCTCCTTTTTTACTATATCCTTTAATGCCTAACTGTATATAAACATGTTTCTATAATGAATATGTGTGTGTGTGTGTGTGTACATATATAATCCCAGTGAAAACAATGAATTTTCTAGAAGTTTGGAAGAGAAGGCATGGGGCTGGTTGTGAGAGAAATAATGAGCACTATTTTCATGGAGACTTAGAATTCTCTTTTTCAAGATGAGGAAATATGGGTAAATTTCTAGGCTGCTGGGAAAGAGGACCAGAGAGAGACAGAGAGGAAACTGATAAAGATAAGTGGTAAACAAGCACTTTATAAAGCAATATTTCAGAAGGGCAGAAGTCCACATAGACTTACACTTTTCCAAATGTGTTCCTCTTCTGTGAGTGCCTAATAATGGAGAAATATATAGATACAGGTTTGCACTTACAGAGGTCTCAAATGCAGAAGTCTACAGGGGCCGAGAAGGTAACACATACAGGTGAAATAGATCTGATATCATAATGGCAAAGACTATGCCATGTTAGATAATAAACATCCCATTTTTAGGTATCCCTCTTCAAAAGACATTGCAGGATAAAATTAAACCCTAGCTGCCATTTTGGTCCCATTTGTGTAGAATCAGTAATTTATGGCTATTCACACTTCTTTCTCAGAATAGTAGGAATATGGGTTATCTACCGAGAGCAAGTGAGGTTGGAGAGAGGTGGTGAGAAGAAGAAGGTAAGGAAACAGAAATTTGTCACTTCTTTTTTGAGAATGGGAAAGCAGTTGACTAAAGATGAGTAACAGGATGAAGAAAAATTAAGGCCCCAGCTGGGGCTAAAAGTTATAAATATGTAGGAGAGAAAGCCACCAGACCTGAGAATTATCTTCAGCAACACTCAGCCTTACTGAGATTAACACTAGAAATTCAGTCTAAGAATAAGTGTGATGAAAACAACATATACTCATATGCAACATATATAACATATACTCGCTTACAATAAAATGTGTAGGCAAAGAGTATATTAAATTGCCACGTCCATCAGTAGCTTATTCCTGAGTGACAATAAGAAAATCATAATAATTAAATTTTTTAAAAGTAGCAACTTGTGAGAAAATTAATTCAGATATTTTATTACTTCATTTTACTCTTCTGTGCATGATTTTTAAATATCAGGGATGAGTAGAATGAATGTTTTAGTTTTTTGAAAATTATCGTGAGTGTATAGTTTTAAATATAATATATTTTTAATCAGAATTAATTCAGAAACTGTATTTTTATTTAATCAAATATGAGGTGTGACTACAGAGGAATGTGATTGATTTTATTTAATCAGTATCTTTTCAATATTAAATAGAATACACAGTAAAGATAATTAGTTTAAAAGATGCATTTGGCTTCAGGGCACTTATTAAGTTCAATCTAATATCAAAGAATTTTTTAAAATCCTATTATTCTTAAGTATTAGGATATCTCCTGTCTTCATATTTTTTAATTTGTAATCATTTTAAATTGACAATTTAATCCAAATTGTCATAGGACAAAGAAAAATCTTTGGTGGAGCTTATTGGAGGTTTGACTTAGTTAAAATATAATAAGAGCACAGTACTCACATTAAAAGAGTCATCAGTTATTTCAAGACTAAAGTAAAATTAACAAAATTATACCTTACACTTATATAGGAATGTTCATATTTTTGAAAAAGTGCATTTATGTTTATTGACACATTTAATTGTGTCACTAAACCAAAGGTAAAGACGGGAGCTTATATTTAGAGCAACTATCCCCTAAACGTATTTCAAAATGAAATGTACATATCTTATTGACTCTTCTTTTCAGACTATTCTTTAGAACTTCCACTTTACATATAGATAATTAGTAGATCCCTATTTATGAGTATGTGTATGTATGTGCAATTATGTCTGTGTATGTTGGAGACAAGGAACTGAGTGCAATTGATGGCTTGAACTAACCCCTCCCCGAACCTAATATAATAGATTAATACCTATGAATTTTATGCTCATAAAATTAATCTATAATACTTTCCCTTATACATATTATTTTTATCTACAGAAACATGAGCCAGTTCTAGAAATTTATTATTGTATAGTTATTGTACTGCTGCTTTCCAGAATACAAAAGAATCACTGTAGGTAATGAAAGAATATTGGTAATAATATTTAGAATTAAAGCTTAATTATCCTTTTCATCATCCTTGGTGAAGACCTTGAATTAAAAAACAAAGAGGTTGTAATAGAATTTGTTCTCATCCTTTGCCCCTCTAAATATCCACTGATCTCATGCCAAAGCATTTTCTAACCAGGTTAAAGTCCAATTCTGTACTCACGTTAGGCTAAGATTCAATTGAGTGAAAATTTTACACTGACTGCCAGTCAACCTTATCATGAACTTTCATTATGTGCATGTAATTAATTGGGTCCAACGAACAATATCAGTACTGAGTTATAGACTCTTTTCCCCCGACCATATAATTAGAATATAATTACCCACAGGATATCAGAATGATGCAGAACCTTTCCTCTAAATGCACCCTCATTAGGAAACAAGTCTCAATGTACATTTATTCAATCAGAGTGAATTAATTAAAATGTTACTGAAATAAAGGAGGGTAGCAATAAACAGTATGTGACATCTATTAAGAGACTATTACTTGAGATCTGCATGCACAGCTTATATTTAAACCCATTTAGCTCAAGTAGTAACTTTACTATGTAATGTTATGTGCATTCAGTGTATAAGGAAATTTGAGTAAATGAATCAGAGTGTCATTGTTTTTGAAAAGAGTATAGTACATGATGTCTACAAAATCTTTAAGAATTAGGTAGGATTCTAGAGGCCCCATTATTCCCTAATAATTACATAAAATAGTCATCACCAGATAGAATATATTTGGTGGAAAAAAATCATTTTTAATTCAAAGTATCCAGGCAAATATTTGTTCATTCCACAACATCATATTACACATTTGACATATTTGCTCTGACCTGGCTTAGGATATAACAGTTGGAAAAGCTCAGACTTACAAAAGCACTAACAATTTTTTGTCTTTTAATAAAATAGCCTGAATTACTTAAGAGAGCTCGAGTTATTTCAATAGCATATTTCCTTTAATAAGAACATTCAAATGAACATAAGAATATCTTCTTTTTGAAAGGATGCGTAATGTATCATACCACACATTCAGGTTAAATAAAACACGGTAAAAAATAGTAAATGCCTAACGAAGCTGAGGGACATATGAAGCATATCCCACAAGAATCTGCTGATTCTTATGAACACATTCTACCTAAGAGCTATTTATCTTTGTTTTTCTAGTACTTGACATAAAATTATATTCGATAAAAGTTTATTGAATAAATAAATAAATAAATAATCATTATACAAAGGAATATTCAGCATTAGTCAAGAACAATGTTATAAACCGCGATATAAAAATTTCAAAGAGCTATATGAAATCTTTAAAGTAAGATATACACATATTTTCAAGCTTTCAATGTTATCACATCTTCCTTAGAAATTTTTAGCTTTAAAAATAGGTTTTATAAAATTCAGTTCTGGTAATCAAATTTTGACATTCATTTTTACAAATAGACATGCACTACTGTATACTGGAAATTCTGAATGAGCATTAAGATATATTAGGCCGTCAACAAATTGTTAATTTTCATACACTTTTTAGGAGCACATTCCAACCAATTTTTGAATTACTGCTTTTTGTT